AGAAAAGGTGGATTTTCTTCTATTCATTGTTGCACATTTTACTCCCTCTCCCCCAGTTCACTTTTAAAAAAATATTATTAATTGTTGCACAATTACCTCCCCTCTCCCAGTCCTTTTTGCAGTGTACCTTTTATTCTGGTCTATTGTACATATAATGCCTAATCATATATTTCTTTTAGACAGTTCTTTCCTTCACCTGGTCCAAAGCAATGCTTGATATCTATCCACTCCTATCCTGTTCTTCTTCCAACCTCCCACGTCAGACCTCCTTTATAACAGTGGTGCTGTGTAGTATTTGTCCTTTTGTGACTAAGATAAAAATTTTTTAAAAATGGTTAGAACAGGGATTAGAACATCAACAGACGACTTCCAGAAATCCAAGCTGAATTTATAAGAGGTCATAGCATTATCAGTACCATTGCTGATATCAGATAGACCTTGACTGAAAGCACAGAATACAAGAAATATGTTTATTTATAGATTTTTTTTACTATAAGAAGGCATTTGACTGTAAATCATAACCAACTATAAGTAACACTGAGAAGAATGAGAACTTCTGTGAATTCCACTGAGTTGTGCCCATGCAAAACCTATACAAAAACTGGCCCCAGTCACTGAGCCTCCGCCAAGGACTCAGCTCCCTCTCCCTTGAGCCCCCTCACTTCCAATCGCTCTGTCCACCCTGCCCACTTTCTCCTACCACCACCTTCCACAAGCCATTTCCACGGAGGAAAAGGAATCGTATCGGATGTCCGCTATCCAGAACCGCCACTCTTTCGACCCCCTTGCTGATGCAAGTAAGGGTGATGACCTGCTTCCTGCTGGGACTGAGGATTATATCCATATAAGAATTCAACAGAGAAATGTCAGGAAGACCCTGTAATTGTAATTGTAATTGTAATTGACCAAATTGTAATTGTCCAAGGGATGTCTGATGATTATGATAAAAAGAAACTAGCAAAGGTCTTTAAGAAGAAGATTGCCTGCAATGGTATTGTAATTGAGCATCCAGAATATGGAGAAGTAATTCAGCTACATGGCGATCAATGCAAGAACATATGCCAGTTCCTTGTAGAGACTGGACTGGCAAAGGACGACCAGCTGAAGGTTCATGGGATTTAAGTGTTTGAGGCTCACTGAAGCTTAATTGACAGTTTCCGTGAAATGAGTAGAAAATTCCCTTTCTGTCCCTTGTCACAAGTTTAAAACTTCACAGCTTGTAAAATGTAACCATTTGGGGTCCACTTTTAACTTGGACTAGTGTAACTCTTTCATGTAATAAACTGAAAAGAGCCATTAAAAAAAAAACTCACACAATAAAAGCCCCAAACCAACCAACCAAAAAAAAAAAAAAACAAAACAAAACGAAAACCCATACAAAAAATAAGAAGCAGTTGTCTGAACAGAATATATAAATAATGAATAGTTTTAAATCAGAAAAGAGATACAACCAATTGTATCATTTTCCCACAGTTATTCAATCTGTACACTAAACAAATTATTAAAGAAGAAGAACGTGGCCTTGGGATTGGAGGAAGACTCATAAATAACCTGCATTGTGCAGATGATACAGCCTTACTTTGAAGAAACTGAAGATTTGAAGCACTTAGTGAACAAGATTAAAGACTACAGTCTTCAATAGAATTACATCTCAACACCAAGAAAACAAAAATCTTCACCACTGGACTAATACTCATCATGATAGATGAAGAAAAGATTGAAGTTGTCAAGTCTTTCATTTTACTTGGATCCACAATCTACACTCATGATAACAGCAGTCAAGAAGATCAAAAGATGTGTTGTATTGGGAAAATCTGCTGTCAGGAAACTCTAGAAAGTGCTTAAGAGAAATAATGCCAGTTTAAAGACTAAGATGCACCTGGTCCAAGTCGTGGTCTTTACAGTTGTTTCCTATATGTCTGAAAAATTGGAAAATTAATATTGATGGAAGAATATTCAATGCCTGTAGAAGAGTAATGAATATCCCATGGATTACTTAATGAACAAACAAGTCTGAGAAAGTTCAACTAGAGTGTTCCTTAGAGTGCCTTACCTATATTAGACATGTATGTTATCAGGAGGGGCCAGTCCTTGGAGATAGACATCATACTGGGAAGGATGGAAGGTGAGAGAAAGGGAGGAAGATCTTCAACAAGATGATTTGACTCATTGATACAACTGACCGAATCAGTGGATTGATTATGTTCATCAATTATAATTAACTTTATAAAACAAAATGTGCAAGAATGAATGAAAATCACTATGATTTGTAAACCTTCTCTCAAACATAAAAGGGGAAAAGTTTAAAAAGAAACAGAATAAAACAATTACCCAATTTCATCTTGAAAAATACAATTTCTTAATGAATATCCGGCTCTAGTTTCCGCTCTCTTGTTGTCTGAGCATGGATTCTGACTTTCTCCGTATATTTCTGGTCACTTTTAGGTGACCCGCAGGCCGCTGTCCTGAATCCCCACGGCACTCCTCCTCTCCCACGCACCCTGTGCCCGGGACTTCCAATCCCCCCAGCCTGGGCAGCCTCCTCTCCCCTAAAAACCTCAGCCTCAGTGGGTCCAGGACATGTGGTGCACGTGGTTTGTCGGCCGCACAGGGTGATTAGGAGAGCAACCTTACTGGACACAAGGGGTCAAATGGCCAAGAAGACAGCCTGATTGTAGGACCCAAAGCACTTTCTTGCAGATCTGGGACAGCAGAGAAAATGCTCAAAAACTGCTATCTGGTCCAACAGATGTCCTGGGATTTTATTCTTGGGCAAGGAAA